GACCATCGGTTCTACCGATCAAATCCCTTCCTTCAACGTTGCGGTTTCCGATGACGAGGACCCCATTCCACGGCCGATCGGAAGAAAGAAGGCAAAATCCATTGCCTCTGGTTCGGGAGGGTCCGCCTCTATTTCTGCTTCTCCCCGCGACGAAATCGGCCGGGCAATGGTTGAACAACTTCGGGCGTTCAATCTCCAAGAACAAGAGAGGATGAAGCTTAAAGAGAAGGAGTTGAAGCTAAAGGAGCAGGAGGCCGAGATGAAAGTCATGCAAACCGACCCCGCGACGTTGTCGGAGTTTGGACGAATTATCTACGAGCAAAGAATGAGAGAGATCAAGGAGAAATATAATTTTCCTTAGTTTTTTTATTAATGTATCTTTTTTTTAAATTATTGTCGCTTTTTTTTATTTAATTAATGTGTTTTTTATTATTCGTGTTTCAATTTAATTAAATAAAAAATTAATTACATTTTATTAATTTAATTTTAGAAGATGTATATTTAAAAATGTAAAAAATGAAGGTTTGAAGCCCAGTTTTGAAGCCCCGGGGCTTCAAACCCATTTCCAGTGAATTTTGGGTGTAAGTTAAAGCTGACGTGGCAGAGAGAGAAAGTTTGAAGCCCCGGGGCTTCAAACGTATTACCAGTGCTCTCACAACCGTATATATTGTCAACATCTTTTTTACTGCCTACCTCATTTTCACGCAGTAAAAATAAGTTTCAATTACACATATTTTACCACTGATAATAATTCGCCAAATATAGCTCTCCTGCCTCCTAATTTGAAAAATTGGCACTAATATTCTTTTTGTTTCCAAAATTTATTTCTAAAGTATGTATAGTTTCAAAATTGACATATTTGTTTCTTTAAAAAAAAAAGAAGAAAATTTTGGGACAATCCAAATTGAAAAGAATAAATATAATTATGGGACGAAGATAGTTTAAATTATGCTTTCTCCGTCCAAAAATTATCTTCCCGTTGCACATTATAATGTTTGAATGAAATTATTCTTAAATTTTTCTTATATAGAAATTGGTTTGGAATTTAAAAATAAAAATTACATATTAAAAACTACATCAAAGATCTACAAACTATATTATTTTATCAAATGAGCAACAAAAATAAGTAAACAAAGTAAATAAAATTTAATTCTTTAAATAGTAAAGGAAAAGATAATTTTTGAAGGAATATCTCTCAACTTGTGAAATGTAGTAGGTTTAATATTACTCGTGAAACAATTGAAAAAAAAAAAAAAAAGAGAAAGGACCGTATTAATTAATTAATAGGCTTTTTGATGCTTGTGTTCTACTGCAAGTAAAAGGTAGTAAAAGGCACTGCTACCTACCATTACCAAGCATCCATCCCCCCTTTCTTCTTTTTTTCTTTTCTTCTTCAGTCCATCCCTCCCACCATTCATAGACTTACAGATTAATTTATTCATCATTCTCTGTGCTTTTGATTGCTTTCCGAATCTTCAGCTTCAAACGAAAGCTTCAAGTCATTGTAGTATATTAGTATAATATAGGGAAACAGAGAAAATGCTCCTTAACTTGCAGGGAAGCCATAGCCATACAACAAAATCTTTGACCCCTCATTGGATCTTCTCGCCGTCTTCTTCTTCTTCTTCTTTGATTTAAGAAAAACCCATCAGTTCTATTGGAAAAGAAAGAAGAAGAAGAAGAAGAAGAAGAAGAAGAAAATATTTTTGGATCTTGGTTTGATTCCATTCTCAGATGTCTGAATCCCTCTATAATGCTTACACTATATCATATATGGGAGGAGGTGTAGCCGTTGGCCACCAAGATTCAACTCTGTCTTCCTTTTGCTCCACTTCTTTATGGTAAATGATGAATCTTTAGCACAGTTGTATGTTCGATTTCTTATAGCTTGTGTGCTTCGTAGAACACTGGTTTTAAGTAGAGCTGAATGGATAAGATTAAGCCCATATATTGACTATTGTATGTGTGTGCGTGAATGTGTAATAAATGGATTGTCTTCATAATTAGATTAAAACATTTGGGTAAGGTATTTCTCTTCTATTCCTTTCTCTTTCTGCTCATTTCCAGATTTGAAAGAAATTAAAGAATGCTCTTAAAAAGTTAAAATGTAATGTTTACATGTTCTTCGTTAGTGCTTGCGTGGTTCGCTTGCCCGTATTTCTATATTTTGAGCCGGAGTCTCTTTTCTTTCATTCCACATTTCCCTTGTGTAGTTGTGTATGCTATGCTTTGTGGGTCATGTACTGGATTATAGCTAGGTCTCCTTTGATGTCTTGTAATGGAGTAATTTAATTCTCCTTTGAGGTCTTCCTAATTAACAACAAAGGCCAACTTACCGAATTTCTATATGTGTATAATCTCTACCCCCAGCAGAAATGTGTACTCAAAATCTCATTAAGGCTATGTTTGGAGCTTGTCATTGGTAAGGAAATAATAAAAAACCGCTACGAAGAATGAGAATGTCTTTTTAAAGTTTGGGTTTAACCTGGTAAGTTAAGTAGTAGCAAAGTTGATTTATAGAGTTAGAAGCAATTTTTTTCTTCTCTTCCAGCTTTTTGCACTATATTCCTTTTAATTTTCTTTCCCTGGCATATCATGGGTTCCGAGTATAACCTAAGGTATTATTATCGTATGGAACAGAAAGCAACTACGAAAAACTCTGTAACTTGCATTGTTTTTTTAATAACTAAGATTGTTTTCTTGATTCTTCTTTGACTAGGTGTTGCTGAAATGGCATCTTACCTTAGCTCTGAGTTGTTGAAGAGAGTCACATTTCTGCATCTCAAAGTGTGGGTATTAATAGCTTTCTTTATAGGTCTGTTCATAGTAGTAGTTCTGCTGGTGTTGCCCTTTTGTCTGTCTCGCAAAAAGCCCAAAAGGAACGGAAAAACACTCCCCACAAGTCCCCCCATTCCTCCCCTTTCAAAGGAGATCAGAGTTGTGAACTGTTCTGCAAACAATAACTATTACAATGACCCCTTTCAAGACGCCTATAGAGACAAAGACTCTGATAAGCTTTTGGGCCATACTGAAAAGAATCAGTCAGGTGACAACGACAATGTTGGATTGATCTCTTACTCTTCTCTGTCTGATTCGCCCCCGAAGCTTTCCCAGCTCGGCTGGGGCCATTGGTTTACTCTGAGGGATCTACAGATTGCAACCAATAATTTCTCTAAAGAAAATGTGATTGGGGAGGGCGGATATGGAATTGTTTATCGGGGACAACTTGTTAACGGAAATCCAGTGGCCATAAAAAAACTACTACTCAACAATCTGTAAGTCTCACGTCCTCCCTTCATGTGTGGAACTTAATGCTCCCTCTGTCCCCTTTTTAGCTCCTCACTTTGTATGGTTGAAATTGGTTTAGAAAACAGAAACCATATCATCCACAAAATACTTTCCTAAAAAGGAAAGGGGGTATGATCTTGGAACCGATGGAAAAAAATGAAAGAATGAAGATAAAAGGGGGACAGGGATTCCCATTAACGTTTGTACTTGTGTAGTTTCTTTTTCTCATTGTTGTAGCAAATCTTCTTTCGACAGAGGAGAAGCGGAGCGAGAATTCAGAGTGGAAGTTGAAGCCATTGGGCATGTTCGTCATAAAAATTTGGTTCGACTTTTGGGTTATTGTATTGAGGGAACCCAAAGGTATTGCGTCTCTCACCCGCAAACCCCAACCACTCTATTCACCCCGAATACGATATTTATTCTTACACTTAGATCGTTGGAAGAAAGGGAGTTGAAATATTAGTATATACTAATGCATGATTTGACTAAACATATACTCCGTAGTTATTTTCTAGTGTAAGCAATAATTTAATACTCCCTCTGTCCCTAAAAAAATTCATGCCTCCATACTGTCCCAAAAAGTTCTCATTACATTTAAGGAAAGAAATGAGTTATTCACATTATTTTTTTCTCCTCTGCATAAATTTCTACCGCACAATTTCACTTTTTCTTTAACTCTGTGAAAAAGCAAGCAAGATCATCTTTTAGGGACAGAGGATGTAGTAAAACCAAAACCAATCAAACAAGGCCTTCAATATTTTTGAACCTGAAAGAAATATACCTTTGTCCTTGGTGTTGCATTTAGGTTACTAGTGTATGAGTATGTAAACAATGGAAATTTAGAGCAATGGCTTCATGGAGCTATGCGCCATCATGGGTACCTTACATGGGAAGCCCGAATGAATGTCATTCTTGGCACTGCTAAGGCGTGAGTCCCTTGATCCTTAATTTTTTTTAAATAAGAATTTTTTTGAATAATAATAGTAAGTTAATGAATGTAAACTTTGCTTTACCATTTTTCTTGTAGGCTTGCGTATTTGCATGAAGCAATTGAACCCAAGGTCGTACACCGAGACATTAAGTCAAGCAACATACTCATTGATGACAAATTTAATGCTAAAATATCCGATTTTGGGCTGGCTAAGATGCTTAACGCGGGAAAGAATTACATCACAACCAGGGTGATGGGCACGTTTGGGTGAGTTTTTTTTTTGTGAATGGGGTTTAGCTTCAGGTTGGACTAAACTTATGAGCTATAATTACTCGCAATCAAAATAAACACATCATACTTAGGTAACTTGTGTCCCTCACAGATACGTGGCGCCTGAATACGCAAATAGTGGAATCCTAAATGAGAAAAGTGATGTTTATAGCTTTGGAGTGGTACTTTTGGAAGCAATCACTGGAAGGGACCCTGTCGATTATAGGCGCCCTGCGGACGAGGTGCGTTATTTAGATATGGAAATTGTTAACCTCACTGCTGTCATCGAGATTGACACCACAAGACACAATCATGCACAGTGAATTGGAACATCACCCTTTGGATATATTGAAAATTAGAGTCTCCCTTTTCTACTTTATTTCATGGATGCTCTTTCTTGTTTTTTTTTTTTCTGATTTCATCATTCTCATGTTCCATTGAAGAATCAATATAAATATATTCGCCATAATACTCCGTATTAAATAAATTGAATGGGTTAAGAAAGAAAGTAACCTTATTTAGTAACACAATGACATTTTTGAAAATTAATCAATATACCATAAAATAAGACCTTCAACCCAATGCATTAATTCTGCATCCCCACAATCTCAACCAAACGCCCCCTTAACTTCCTTGAGGAAAAGTTAAACTTCCATTGTAATCTATTAATTTATGGTTGCAGGTGAATCTTGTGAACTGGCTTAAAATGATGGTGGGAAGCAAACGGTCGGAAGAAGTTGTGGACCCCACGATGGAGACGAGGCCCTCCACGAGCTCCCTCAAGCGTGCTCTTTTGACTGCCCTAAGATGTGTCGACCCGAATGATCAAAACAGGCCAGCGATGAGTCAAGTTGTCCGCATGCTTGAGTCTCAGCAGTACCCAGTGCCTCGAGAGGTTCGTATCTCATGTCCTCTGAACTTACTATTATCGCGTTCCAACGAATCTTTTTTTTAAATTAAATTATGGCATCGCAAGGATATGTGCTTATGTGAGCTGTTGTGGATGACAGGGTCGAAAAGGGCAGAAAACCCAGGCAGGTTCTGTGAGAGCAGAGTGAATCTCATTGAGGGAAGAGTGAACCATCTGAGACATTGGAAGGAAGGTGTAAAGGGAAGATTGTGATATACACTCCCCATGTCCCAAAGTAGTCCAACTTCTTTGAGTAGTCAAACTGGACGGGCTTTAATCATCAACTATACGGCGAGTATACAAATTGATGATTAGCAAAGTAGACGAATATTTTTTGGGGTTTATATAGAATAAACGATACGTAATCAAAGCGGTATTAGGATAAATTTGGTCTTCAATAATTTGGAACTAGTATATCAATTTAATGTTGAAGTTGGCTGATTGCCAAATCATTTTGAAATTTATTTTTACACAGTATTGGCCCAAACAATAGATTGGTTAGAAGAAAGTGAGGTTTGTCTATGATATGGGCAAGTGTCAAGGAACCAATTCAACCAAAAGCTCAAGTTTGTGGTTGTGGCCCAGGAAGAGTTATTTATATTCTAACACGCCCCCTCACGTGCAGGCGTAGTCTTTTTTTGAGCCTTGCACGTGAAACCTTAATTTTTTTTAAAAACTGGGTAGCGCTGAGTTTTGAACCTGTGACCTCTTAGTCAACGAGGCTCCGATACGATGTTAAGAAACCAATTCAACCAAAAGTTCAAGTTTGTGGTTGTGGCCCAGGAAGAGTTATTTATATTTTAACAGAACCACATGCAAAGCAATTGCAATTGTGGAGAGAATTTACTCAAAAAATTATAAGCCATTGCATAGTACGTGTTTAGGAAATAAGGGTGAATAAAATGATTTAATCTCACTTAATTTGACACGTTAGAGGACAACAATTTGAAAGATCAATCAAAATATAGGATAAAGTTTAATTTTGTTTTTTTAGTTTTAATTTATTTAATTAGGTTGTACAGTACCATAATTATATACTCCCTCTCGTTCTAAAAACTTTTTCTGTTTTGACTTATTTGGTCAAACAGTGATACTCTTTGATTACAAATTAAACATAATCTAAATAAATAAGTGATATAAAAAGTTGATATATCAAAACAATATCCTAAGATGAACCCAATTATATTGAATTTATATTATAATTATATAAACTTTTTTCATAATTTGTGGTCAAAGAGTATCATTGTTTGACAAAAATAAAGTCAAAACAAGAAAAGTTTTTAGAAACGAAAAGATTATATAAATAGGATTCATTGCAAATGACTTGAATTTGAAATATATTGAATGCCTTTCTTGACTCTTAAGCATAGTTGTGAATGGCGCTCGCCATTCTCGCCTAAGGCGCCTATGGCTGTGTGGCGACCATGTGACGCCATCTTCAGACCCGGCGAGGCGTTTTACGCCATTCTCGCCAATGGCGGTCGCCATGGACGCCAGACTCTGAGCCGAAAGGCATTCGCCATCTACGCCAGTCGCAGGTCAAGGGTTTTTTAATGAGTAAAGTGCATTGTTTACCCCCGTACTCTTTAGAAATTGCATGTTTTACCCTGAACTATTAAAATTGCATCGTTTACCCTCGAACTCCTCGAAAATTGCACGATTTACCCCTGCATACTAAAAAATGCACCAAATACCCTTGAACAAATTAAACCGTTGCATCGTTGGTCCTAAACTATTAGATAGGGAGTGCGTTACTTCCACGCACAAGAATTGCGAATATGATTCATCGGACCCTTGTGAATTTTCCAAAGTACCTTTCCCCAAAATTGTCGTTTTTATTTAAATGTTCAGGAGTAAACAGTACAATTTTCGAAGAGTTTAGGGATATGTGGTGCAATTTTTATTCTTCAGGGGTAAAGCGTGCAATTACTGAAGAATTCAGGGGTATTTGGTGCACTTTTTAATGTTCGGGGGTAAATCGTGCAATTTTCAAAGAATTCGAGGATAAACGGTGCACTTTTCTCGTTTTTTAATTAAAAACCTTGACTTTTTTTTTAAATGCGCTGACCTATCTCGATCGAAACACTTCATCGATTCAACTGCCTCGCCTCTGCCCTCTCGCCGTCGATCGAATTACTCCCCAGCCGACGCAGCCTCCTGCCCTCCTCAAGTTCTCCTCAGCCGGCGCAGCCCCTCCTCTCTCTCCCGAGTCCGAACAGCGCACATCTTCCCAGACCCACTTTTTTTTGTTTTCTACTTTTCTTATTGTTTTTTTGAATGGTTATTGTTTCTTTATTGTCTTTATATTCTTAATATCTTATAGATATAATTTATTGTCTTTATTTTCGCTATTTTCTACTTTTTTTTGTTTCATACTTTTCTTATTGTTTTTTTTTTGTTTTTTTGTTTTAACTTTTACCAATAACTCATGTTTTACTTTGATAATTATGTTTGATACAAGGTTAAGACTAAAAGTTTAGACTTAAACAATATATATATATATATATATATATATATATATATATATATATATAATGTTCGCCATTTGACTGCCCGCCGCTCGCCACGCTTCTCGCCATAAAAAAGAACCTCTCGCCCGCCATTCGCCATTCACAACTATGCTCTTAAGGTCATAAGACTTGTGGGTTTAGTAAATTAATTTAAGATAAATAACATATTATAAATACGTACACTATGTTTGGTTCAAGGAATTTGGAAGGAAAAAAAAGATGTTTTTCTCTCACTTTCCTCACCAAAATGAAAAGAATTTGGTTTTTCTGTTCTTAGTATGTTTTGCCTTCTCATTTTCTTTTCTTTCCAAATTCCACTTTTCTTTTCTTCTCTTCTCTAACCAAACAGAAAACATATTTTCCACTTCATTTTCTTTTCTTTTTGGCGGGTCTCTCCTTACGCGACCGAAGCATTGGCTCGTGATGTCCATTACCACGGCAGGTGTCGTGGAGTAGAGCATCAAGCGGGTTGCACAACCCTCTTGATTTGGCACAGCCATCTATAGGAACCAGCACATCGTTAAGAGACTGGACTCTCATTGCGTGTTCAAGCATCTGTTCTTATAGGCAACTTGCGTTTGAAAGAGATTACTCAGTCAAGCTACACAACTAAAACTTATTTTGATATGATGAATGAATGTTATGGGAGCAATGATTTACACAACATGGACATAAACATAAAAAAAAATTACATTAGAGAAAAAAATAATTGAGGCAACAACAAACCCATACATTTACTGAGTATATTGCAGTGGAAGAACAGCACACCTGTGGAATGGTGATCTGGTTTAGTAATACTCTGCAGAAAAATCCAATAACGGTTTGTCATGTACACGATTCTGTGCTTTGGGGATGAAAAAGCATCTGGCAATCTAATCGAATCAGATTCCCTTCGTGTCTCTGGGACTGATGGGGTGGTTAGCAGATTTGTCACTCACTCCTCTTTCCCAAAACCAATGGCTTGGAACTAGGCAGCCTCTTGCCGTGATCAACAAATGCTGTGGCGGTTTGCCGTTGGAAAGCCAGCTGCATATTCCCGGGCGTTTCGTATAAACCTTTCGCCTTCTCTTCCAGTTCCACCACCTTACTCTGTAATTTGAACTTTTCCACCTACGAGAAAGAGAAAACAGTTGACACCTAAGTGAGAAAAAAAGGGGCCTAATTAGGACTCCATACATGATGAAAGTATTGTGCACCAAGTTTAGAATATATAGCAGGTTCTTTAAAACTTGTTAATTTGACAATGAATTTCATATGCGATATTTGATCTCTCCATTGTTCAATCTTTTTCCCTTTTGCCCATAGTTCAATCAAGTACGTCTCGTGTTAATTTGACAGCTTCAGGTGCCCTTATACTTGATGCCTCTATAATTATGGCAGCTTTGGATATCCCTTTTGCCCTTATACAACGGTAGAACCACGCTCTTCCTCCACTCACCTGGCATCTTAACCATCCTGAAAGTAATAGTATTAAAGAACTTTGTAATCCATCATTTTAAGACACCCGTCCCCAAGTCACCAAGTTGAAGACACCCGTCCCCAAGTCACCAAGTTGAAGACACCCGTCCCCTCCAACATTCAGAAGACAATGAAAGTACGACTGCCACGATTCATAACCTTGACCATGTCAAACAAAACCCTTCCATCATTGTCTTTAACACCCCTCACGTGCTCCAGATCTTGTGTCTTTCTCTCGCGCACCTTAGCTAAGCCTAGACATCTTCTTCTCTCCTCCTCTCGCTTCCTGATCCCCACTCATACTTTCAAAAGCAGCATTCTCAGACGCCAAAACCACCACCTTAGCTTCCTTACTGGCAATCTTATACTTCTCCCGTAGTGACCCCCTAGCCGCCTCATCTACACTCTATGCGCCTCTTATAAGCAACTTTCTTGGCTTCAATTCCATAGCCACATTAGCAACTTATAAGAAAATTGTACGAATCCCAAAATAAGACATAAAGATATTTTAATAACAAGAATAACAGCATGGGAATCCTAAATTTGGTTTGGAGGAGTACTTTGAGCAATTCATTTTGGGCAGTCAGCATCTGATCCCGCTCCTTCAATTGCTCTATGCTCATCTGTGCTGCTAATTCAATGGCTTCTCTCCTTCTCACTTGCTCAATGAATCTGGATACAGAGAATTTTTTAAGCGACATTCCATGAGGCTCAACTGATAAGAGAGATGCTATGTGTACAACACACTCGGTGTAGACCATGCTGTTCAACACTTTATTACACACATCGAGAAAGTTTTTTTGTTCACTGACGATTGCAATATCCGTGTCCCGTGAGGATGCAGAGACATCGCACACATAAGTGAAAACAAAAAACCTTGTCAGTGTGGGTAAAAAAGGTATTGCACAACTTAGTGAACACCAGGTATTGTACAACCCCAACCAATAATCAGGACAATTCCAATATGAACTTCTTGATTATAGCTTCACTTACGCTTCTCTTTCCATGATCAAATCATTCATTTTTCTCCTCAGATTTAGAACTTCTTTTTCCTGCTCAATAATAAAAAGTATCATAAAAACTTCACATGATAAGTCATTCTAATCAAAATAAACCATTGTTTCTTTTAAAATAAATAATAAAGGCATTGCTTTGTTTCAAAAGTACTAATAGGGTACGGAAAACGACAATTTAAACCTACTCTAAGAAAATATGTAAGCCAGAAGTTCAACTAAACAGCATACCATTGCACTGTACTCTTGTGATTTTTGGTGAGCGTTAACAATAAACCCTTGAAGTTGATGTTGGTCTATAAGATCCTATAGGGGGCCACACATGAAGAATGTTTTTTATGACGAATAAGAGAGTCAACCATTGTCAAAGAATTTAGAACTACGGAACTTACTGCATAACTAGTCATGTCTAGTTTGACACCTAGCAAATCCCGGATGACATCATGTGTCATGTTTTCTGCTGCAGCAAGCCTTTTCTTCACTATACATACCTAATGCCACCAGAAAAAGTAAATGGACACTAAATTTAAACTCATTTAGCACAATACAGCTTGCTATTCTATTTATGGAAACACCGAAATACAAAAGAAACCATTTCTCCATCATACATTCATTAAATACAACAATAACCAAGTCAACAACTTTCAGTCACTAAAATCGTCTAGTCCATTCACTAAAAGTACACGAGTATATAATAATGAACAAATGACTAACATCTATCCATTTGTAAAATATGGATGTATACCACGAAAAGGATCTTCAAATTACATGTACTCAATGAGTTCTTCACATTTATTGGAATACTAGTTTATTTCTATTTTGGTAACTATGGCTTTGTTACGGTACAATTATAAACATGACCATTAGAACATCAAAATTCACCTCAACTTCATACTTATTTGATGCCAAACACGCACAAATTGTTTTTGGACTCATCTCAAAAGACTTCAAACTAAATGGACTTTGGTGAAGACTTATAGCATAGGCAATACTTCTTTCATTTTCCAATGTTAGATTTAAAAAGATAACATACCAAAAAGAAATAAGTAAATATATGGATCATATACCCATGTGTGAAAAAAATAATTTGCTAATGTACAAATTAGTTTGATTTCATCAAACCAATCGCGGATGGATTGGATTTCATTTATGAATTTTTAATGGATCATGAATGATTTCAAAAAGCAATGGAAGTATGCAAGTAAATGTGAATACACTTCACTGCCTTTAGATAGAAAAGGAAGTCCATGAACTCCTAATGTATTTGATAGGGTAAGAGTGTAAACTGATGGAAAAAATAACTAACACCAAAAATGTGAGTTTCCTTTGAAATCCTGTATTTCAGTTCTAAAATTTATCGTGTACAGCCAACTTCTGGAACTATATACCATACCTCTTGCTGCCTTTGAGCCACCATCGCTTCTAGTTCTTCTATTCGCAGTTTGGAAACCGACAGTTCCTGATCTTTTTCCAAGTTCATATGATGAACTAAACTAGAGATGCATCTGAAAGGTGAACTTGAGCCCCTTGCTCTTGTTGAGACTTTCTCCCTGATATCTGATGTATATTCTTGGTTCTCTAAGTTTGAGTTACTCTCGAATCCACAAATCATTGATTCCAAGTCTTTGTACTGACATCATATGAAGATAAAAGATACAGTTCTAAAATGCTTAAGCAATTGTTGATAGCCAAGGACCAAACCACAACAAATATTCAAAATGGCATGCAACATTTCTTAGGGAATGACGTTTTAAACATAGATAATTAATTTTGTCATGAATAGACAAGCATACCACCAACGATTTCTAATTATTAAAAATAACTCAAAAGTAAAATAAATTTGAGAGACCACTTAATCATTTTCCTAATTCCCACTCGTATAGGGTATTTTACTAGGTCGTTATATGGGTACTTGCCCACTTTATTGGGTTGATTCCGGTGGTTGAAAAGCAACTACTATTCAGTCGATAAGGAACCCTTTACATATGCCTTTCCATATAAAATTTGAAATGCAGTAATTGCAAATAACAACCAACACTTGCAGCAATGTGTGCCTTTTAATCCTCCAGAGTTTAGGTAAAAATGTTCACCTTGTTCTGATACTGTAAGGACTGTGCTTCAGCATGCAATAGAATTTCAGAAATGTACTCTTTGCATTGTTTGACCTACATCGCAGTGTGCAAGGTTTCAATTCTAACAGTGGAAACCAAAGCTATAAATACATTTTAATAAATGGCAATATTTTCTTGAATGGTCATTTGTGGCATACCTCCTTCACTAGTTCTGCCTTTTCTACCTCAAGAACTCTTATTTGTTCATAATCCTTGTGATGTGATAGGGACCTACAATAAAACTCGCTGAATTGAGTCCAATTATGGAACAACAATGGTAGATAAAGAAAGGAAGAATATAGTATTCAAAGATAGGTACTCCCTAGCATTGGTATTATGGTATACTACTAGCATTGGACTTTTGGGTAATTGGTACCGAGCTCAATCTAGGAATACTTCAATCATAAAGCCTTTTTACCTTTGAAATTGCTCTTCTGTACGTTGCAAGACTGATCTATTGAAGTCCAGACTTTCAGTAAAATTTTCAACTGTCAACAGCCTCTCTTTTAGTGCTTGAAGTTCTAGTTCTAATGAATCTCTTATCATGTGATGACTTTCTACCTCTTCTTCCATTTCATGTACCTTGAGAATGGGATATAATAGATAATCTCCATTTAGCCAAAGTTAGTATAAATAAAATGATGCAATGATACTCGTATGTTCATTAAAAAAAATCTAAAGACCAGGTATTCAAAATTTCAAACAAAGCGAATAGAGTTTTTATTTAAAAAGTTGATTGAAAATGTCATTGGTGAAATAAAATACGCTTAAAGAGTTTACCTTTTTCTCTAGTATATTTATGGTGCCCTCTAGCTCTTCAACAGAGTGCTCCAAAATCTTCACCTCTTCCTCCTTTTGCTCAGCATAGATTTTACTTGCTTCTGACTCCTAGTGGTAAGATTGAGTTAAGCGCGCACACACACACACACAAGCACACATATATATTTATATTTATATTTATATAGCATATCCACAGGGTTTAAGAATTCTAATCTTGTATCTTATGTTCATACCTGGTGGGATTCGACAGCTATCGCTTCATTCTCGTTAGCTAATGCATAAGCAATATCAAGCTTGTCTTGCAAAGAGCGAATGTGTTCCAGAAGCTGGATTTTCTCTCTTGTAACTTGATTATCAGCTGAAGATGTCAGAAAAATAATCTCTTTTTCTAACGTCTCCCAGCCCTGCTTATGCTCTCTCAGTTCTTCCTCTATTTCGGACTTCTTTAGATAAAGATCGTTCACAAGCCCTCTCAATCCTGCATTTTCCTTTGTCACTATCTCCAATTTTCTTCCTGATTCTGCTAGATCAGAGCGAGAGACAAAAAGAGCACCTTGAGCATCTTTCAATTGGTTTTCAAGCAATCTATTTTGAACAATCAATTCATCAAGCAGATTCTTTTGAATTCTTAATTCACTTTCAACTTCACTCAAGGCTGCAATTAACTTATCCACTTCATCCTTGACATCCCTTTTGCTTGAAGCCAATTCTTGTAGTAAGCTAAAGTCAAAAAGTAATCCTTTTAGAAGAGCCTCTTTACGTTCCAATTCCCTCCAGAGATCGGCATTGTCATACACTGGGTTAGCATGAACAAAGTCTTTCTCTTTCAAAGATGGAGCATTATCCACCTCTTGACCATCTATATCCAACCTGCCATTATCACATTCCTGATAGCATTCACCCTGCATTGCAACTAGATTTCTGTTGAGGATTTTCAGTTTGTGAATCAAATCACCTGTGTGGCACTGACGGAGGACTAAAGAGGCTACTCCATTCCCCATTACTGTAGTGACTATATCATCTAATAGCAGTTTTGAATCGCAAATGCAGCTCGTAGTCTCCTTTACCATTTCAGAAGCATCAGAAAGCACAGATTTGCACAATGCATCGACATATTTTTGTGTTTCACGGAACGTATCTTCAATGGAAGATATTGAGCTTGTAATTTCAGTGAAGTCGAGATGCATCTGGTTCTGCAGTATTTCATATTCACCCCTCCCGCAAATATCAGAGTTCATTTGATTGATCTCTTCAGCCAATCTGGCTTTCTCTACCTGCAAATCCTTCACTGCTTGTTCCCAGATACATGTCATTAGTTTTCCACTTTCATTTGATTTGGTTAATGCCTGCAATGTATGATCTGCTTCCTTGATGGTTCTGTGAGCTTCCTCAAATTTGTGGAAGAAAATGTTTGCCTGTTTCGTTCTTTCGATTGGATCCAATTGTATGCCCTAATTAGATAAAGAAGGTGATCAAACAAAAATATACATACATACATATTTATATATACATACATATATATATATATATATATATAATTTTTACATACATACATATTTGATAGATTAGTTTTAGAAAAAAAATATAAGAGAATGAATGTGTATAAGTTGTCAACCTCTCTCACAAAGTTGCAACTTGTCTCAGCTACGGGCTTAATTACTACTTCATGACCTGGAACCAGTTCTGACATTCTGACTTCAAATTCATTTTCCACTGCATACTGGTGATTGCTTTTTGGAACTTCTTGTGAATTGCAAAAGCACGGAGTTGAGCATAAGCAATTCTGAACTTTTTGGCTGAAAATATTATCAAAATGAGCTCTTAAGTTGGTAAACACATAGTAAGTCTTTCCGAATTCCTTCCTCAGAAGAGAGAGTGTTTTTTCTTGACTCAAATTCCTGACTATGTTTTGAGAAGTAGCTGAACCATGAAAATCAGAAGGATGACTAGATCCATTGGTTTCATCTGAAAAATAACAAGAGGATGCAGAAAACTTGGTGCATCCCCCCAAGTGAATAGACTCCTCAGCAGCCCCCTGGTATCCATACGGATTTAAAATCTTACAAAAGCAACAAATAATGTGTTTTAAACTGTCTCTTGCTCCAACAAGTTCATATAGAATCTTATGGAGCATTTGATACACACTACCACATCCAGAAATCTCAGAGGAAGTAGTTGATTGCATTTCATCAGTTTCCATTTGAGCCATTTGACTCTTTCCAGGTTTTTCCTTTGCCCGAGTAAAATGCGTCTGCATCTCTTTGATATCATTAATGATGTCTTGAATTGAATCTTTGAAAAACAATAGGCTGCTATATCCATCAGACTTGATTGCTATAAGTTGCTTTTCTGCATCACAAAAGGATATTTTTATAGCATTTTTGAGTTCCAACACTTCCCTTTTTGCCAACTCAGTCTCTCTATTAAATTCTCCCTTGCAAAAATTCCATCTACTTGTTAATGGCTGACCATTCTTATCAATTATATTGGAAAGGTTTAAAATATCAGATGAGCAATTCATTTTTTCAGCTTCGTTGATCTGCATTTCCCCATGGGTAAGATTGTTCGCCAGAAATGAATTACTTACTCCTGTAGCTATCTGAATTCCATCTTCTGTAAATGCATTTACTGGCGGTTGAGCTTCAGTCAATGCAATTGTTGCACTCCTCAAGGATAACAACTTCTCATCCAATTGAAACACAGTCTGCTGTGCTTCTTCCAAGCTCTTCTTTAGTAAAAGAATAGTTTCTTCCTTCTCAATATATGTTTTGGCTGCCCTCTCTACATGCTCTCCAATACAAATGTCGGCATTAGGAAATGAACCAGCTATACTTTCTATATGAGAAGTGGCGTCTTGAAGGGATCTAGAACCATCTGTAAGGAAGTTCGTTAAATCCAGAGTTGCTCTTTCCCACTCTGCACACATCATCATCATTTCTTCCTCTTTAGATCCCAGGGTTTCTTTGAGGCTTATGATTTCCTCAGCCATGGAGCACACTTTCTCCTGAAACTCAGTCTTGATTTGAAAAATCTCTTCCTGCAGGAGTAGAATAGTCTTGCTTGATTCCATTTCCACCCCCATGCACACTGAATCAGTTTGTTGTTTCATGGACATTGTTAGTGCTTCTTCCTCCATACAGTTGTGATTAACAAAGAGGGCCACCTCGAGATCCTTGGACACTTTTTCCAACTTACCTTGCAACCCAACTGAACAGGTATCAGCATGACCCTTCGACACAAAAATCAGATCTGTATCATCTGCCCTGACCTGCGGTTCACGAATTTCAGATATAGAGCCTGTTATTTTCCCAAGGATCTCATTTGAGTCATTTCTATCTAGCATCTCCAGAAGCCTGAAGTTTTCTTCCCGCAATATCTTCATTTCTTCAACGAGATGGACTTGCTCCAGTTCCAACTCTTCCACCAAAAGTCTTGCTTCCATTAACTGCTTCTTCATATCATTATATTCCAAAATCGACGTGTTTTTCATTTGGTGATTACTTTTCTCCAGAAAATATCCTTCATGCACTGCCAAGGAGTGAGGTGTGTTTTTTAATAATTCACTTCTGTGTGACATGCTTCCAATCTATAAAAGTGCATGATAAATGCACAAAATGTCAATAAATTTGAAGGAAATATATAAGTTATTTTCATCATATCTAATTATTTCAATGCAGATCTGGTACTTTCTCTAAATGCATGTAGATGTCCCCAGTAGTTCCCTTCGCAATCGATTAATTCCATACACTTGATATAAAATGTAAATTGAGAACCTCATAATAGCCAGTAACAAAAAAAGGAAACATAATAACCAAAGACCATTTGGAACCTGTTGGCGTAATTCTGATATTTCAGCAACCATTTTTTCTCTCAGTCCATGATCATAGAAGTTTTGGAACCTAATAGCAGTAGAGATAGAAGATCAAACAGTGGGGTGAGGGGACTACCGAGTAGTTGAAGTATACAATCAAGTTCATAGGAGTTACACTCGAAGCTGCCTGAGGAGTTTATTATTCTCCAATTCCAGTCGAGTTAGTTCTGGATTTGTTGCTAATCTTGATGCTAGAACCTGAATCTCTTCTCTTAAAGCAGCATTTTCATTGATGAGATACTTATCCACCGAGATTAACTTGTCTTCAAGCAATTCAAATCGCTTATTTTTTTCATCACGAAACTTGAACATTATTTTATTGCGCTGAGCATCTTCCTCTAGTTGATGAACCTACAATGTACACAATAAAAATAAGTTGGCATGTAATGCTTACACCTATATAAACAACACTTTGCACAATATTATGGTTCAAAATTGATAATGCAGTAATAAAAATGGGCATTTAAAGATCATAACATGACACACTAGACGGTTCATATGCTCAATTTCTTCTTCCAATCGCCTGATCTCCATATCAGCCAGTTTCTCCCGTCTCAGGGCACCAAGCAAAGTAGCTTCAAACTTTCCTATCTGCCACTCCATTCGTGTGAGAACTCTAGGAAGTTCTAAGTGCATTCAATGTTGTATTGTTCATATAATTATATTAATCATCTTCATTTATGAAAATCACCTTGTGGTGTCTTCCACATGTTCTTTCATCATCATCATCATTGTATATCTTCGACGCATTAGACAGGTCAAACCTTTCAGGAAGAATGCCTGAGCTAGACTGATCCAACGATGGTGTGGAATTTGAAAATTGTTTTGAAGAGTCGTGATGCTTCATTAAAAAAAATAACTGACCCTGTATGAAAAAATCAACTAATAAGAATGTAGGCTTTGGATGTATTGAATAAGCATGAGAGTAAAACAATGCAACTAATAAATACCTTTAGTTGTTGGATTTGCTGCTGCAAAATTAATATATCACCTGAAGCATCCTCATTCACTTTTGCCTACAAAAGTTAGTGTGCCTTTAAAACATGATAATTTTCAATGGCCAAGTAAAATATTAAACTGGATGTTCATACATTGTTCTGAATTAGTTTTGCACGTTGTGCAAACTTTAAAGTGCTTAGGGTCTCATTGGCAGAGCTGAATAAAAGAAGCATTAATTAGAGCAGTGTAATTCAAGCAGCCATATTGGAACATCACATATCAACATTTTCAAAGTGACATACCAGCTAGATGGACTAATATTGGCAATAATTGTAGTTTTTGAATTCCCGCCAAGAGAATCCTAAATCAAATTTGGAACAATTGCTTTACCTAGTGAGTGGTGTTAAATGGTAAGTCAAACACAACAAATATAATGCATATGAGTTATTGGGTCTGACCTGAAGGAGAAAAGTTAACCTGGAATCTCTGTATGGAACATGTCTTTGTTTCCCTTGCGCCAAATCCACTAAAGACATTATGACCAGTCTGCATTGCGAGATACATATAGAACCATAATTAAGGGAGTATGTAGACTGAAAAAATGTTCTTTTAAACATTGCCCACTACAGAAGCAACAGCACCTATGTATTCAGATTCTGAGTTCCAAGACAACTATAATTAAGTTAACTTGTTTGTATTCTACAACGTCAAGCTTGTTGCAGTTGTCAAATACTCATGCACTGACCACCTTAGACATCTTCTTACACATAAAAAAAAAGATGAAGTCGCTGGTGCATATATATTTTTTGCTTGGACCTATTTGAGCACTAGGTCCAATCTTAGGATGTTGAGTTCTAAAATTCCCTCAACAGGTTGTTTTTAGACACCACTTGGATCTTTAGATTGATGTTATAACTTGAAAATAGGTTCACTTGGAAATCCCATGGGACCCATCAGCTTTCTCCACTATGGGAAATCATATTCCATACTCCGTATTTTGTTAGTGTGATAAAATGCTACAGTAATCTACAGAAAAGAAGGTACAATCATAAAGAACTCAAACGTTTCATTTTGCTGAATAAAGGAGGAGAATATTCTTGTGTGAGTATGCCTTAACCTTGGTACAAATTAGCTATATTTATAGCTATTTACAAAGAGAAAGTCAGTGTCAAAAAATGAGTGAATGAATGACATCATCAAGGTGATGTAATCAAAATAATGTGACCATGATGATGTCATGACTCTAGATGACTACACAATTCAGACTGAATTCTCATTACCCGAGAGTTGAAAGGGACTTGTTTATGTTAGCTGCTTCTCTCAAACGTTCTCCATCTGCCCCAGAACTTTTCTGCCTAATGATTTGAAACTTTGAGTATGCAGGCTGGTAGAAGCATTTACATGTCATACATTTAAACCAAATATCACCTTTCAGAACCAGCTAGGTCCACTAAATTCAACTTTCCAAATCTGAAGTGTTTCATAGAATCTTTCTCCCAACAGCTTTCAATGTTACAAGTGAAAACACTATGGGATCTGCTGCTCTCGCTGTTCATATGAGTAGCTGCCATTTTTCTATTTGATGCCCCCTGGGCAAAAACAAGGCATGAGCATTGAGACATTATGGTGCTTAAAGTCTTTGTAAACAAAGGGAAAGTGCTACGTCTCACCTGTAGCAAAAATCTGAGAACATCATCAACACAGGTTACACTGACTTCAGTAAGGTTCTCGACATAGACCCCCTTCTTCGAATCCTCTCTAAGCTACAGCATAAAGTGAAAACTTGAGTCTGTGTGTGCGTGTGTGTGATGAAATATATAGATGATGAATAAGTATTAAGTACAGTAATTGTTTACATGAAGATTAGGTGATGATGGCTCCAGAAGGTCTGTAATTTGTTCATTGTATATCTCTAGAAAAGAACATTTGCAGCTGAACTTCAACCTCTCACTCTTTTGTTTCTCCTCTTCCTTCAAGAGCTTGGAGTTCATAAGAACAAATTGGAACAACTGCACATCAATCGGTGACACAATGTATAACTTTTATGTTACCTCTCTAATTCTAGCGAATAAGTACTCAAAGATCCGAGGAGTTATCCCTCTATGATCATTAAGGTTCCCACTCATCTGACCTATTTCGCCCATCATAGTGTATGTCTTACCACTTCCTGTCTGCATTATACCACCACTAAGTCAAAACCCGATCAAACTACCAATAATATAGGAAAAATCTGCACTGCAACATACCTGACCATATGCAAACATGCAACTGTTGTATCCAGACATACAGTTCTCCACCATGGGATTCCCAGCAACACGGAAGAGTTTTTCCTGTTCGAAATTTAAAACTCACAACAATTTGAATAACCTATTCCCAACTGTATAACATCATTCATCAACTAACGAATAAAAAGCATGAACAGATTAACATGGTCTTGTATTAATACGTAGACAAGTAATCAGCAACATCATTCATCAACTAACAAATAAAAAGCATGAACAGATTAACATGGTCTTGTATTAATACGTAGACAAGTAATCAGCACCTGTGATAAGGATTCACAAGCAACATGATCAAAGGTGAATCTAGTTTCAGGGTGGCCAAGCCAAACTAGAGTCTGCTCACTCTCTTGCCTCAAACATCTACCGTATCCTTGAGTTGCTTTCTCAACATCACTTGGCGGTCTTATTCTAATCAAAACCTGCACAATGTGTAAACTAAAATATTATTCAATTTGATCACAGTCAATGTATTCCTAGCTACTTTAACTAATTTCTAATCTCTCCAAAACGAAGGATCAACAAACCTGCACACTATGATCTCTCCAAAACGAAGGATCCTCTGCTAGTTCAAAATGTGGCACTTCAACTGAACTCTCCAAGCTCAAGAGCGGAATCCCTCTTGTAACTCTAGAGGTGAAATTTCCCCCTTTTCCTCCAGGAGCATGGATGATTGAAACTCTCCTTGCAGTTGCGGGAGACCCGGGAGTACTTTGAACTGAGCTCGTTTCAGGAAGAGCTTTCCCTTTTCTAGTGCCAAAAACGGATTGGAAATTCGAAGAACGCAGAGGTGGAACCACATCTTGCTTTTCCACCAGAGTCGGGTCGAGTTCTTCACATTGAGATGGATCTGGAATGGAGTTGAGCGGCTTTCGCGAAGGAGGCAACGGAGTCGAGCTAAACTGGAGCTCAAATTCATTCTCGTTGTTCTCTAACCTGGCCGGCTTCGAAATAGATCGAACAGATGAAACCTCTTTGGACATTTTTTAGCACCAAATCGGGAAATCCCAGCTCGCAGTCGCCTCTCTTCAGAGAAGAATTTGGGCATGGAGATGGGATGAGTTACACATGCGCTCGAAGTGCGTCGAAGGTGAAGAGGATGAGGAGAAAGAAGGCTGAGGAGAAATGATGCTACGCTCTGCAACTTGAAATCGTGATGGGAGAACTACAGACTTGCTGCAGCTGGGAGAGATGGAAAACTACAGCCCGCTCTTTTTTTCCAAGTTCAAACTCAAACGTTAGATGGATAGAATGCAGGTTGGTGTACTCTTTTCCACCACTTATTTTTATTTAATTTTTATTTATTTATTTATTTTTGCTTTTCTTATCCAATTATGTGGATAAAGAGGGGGTGGGGCCCTAGCATTTTTCTAGAATCTTATGTGCTGCCTCACCCTACTCAATCCATTCTTATTTAAGTGTCTATTTTGTTTTGATGTCAAACGTTTGATTAAATATATTTATAAAATATAGAGCAATGCGGTAGAGGAGGGGGTGGGGGACAAATAGGGTACACCTTTGATGTACCCCTAGCATTTTTCTAAAATATATTGACTTAAAATTTGAAATATTATACTGTATCAAATTATTGCTATTGAAAAATACTTTAAGTGATATTGTTGTTTAAATTTAAGAAATATTATTGTTTAAATTTTAAGTTCGAGTAGCAAATCGAATAGTTAAATAGGAATGAAGAGAGTAGCTTTTTAGATTGAACAAATTAAGAGTTTGTTCTCAGTTCCCTTCATCTAATCTGATTTTATTATATTTGATGTGAATATAGTTATATTTAAAATCATTTATGATGTAATATGATTTGATTTGATTTTAATAATATTAAATATAATAAATAGTGGCATTGGAGACTTAATCATTTGTTACCTCAAGTTTCTCAATCTTTGTTAGCTTGGTTAGGTTGTAATCCTAATTCAAATGCATTTCACTGTTGCTTTTGCAACATACTTAATCTCGTAAACTTTTGTGTTCACTAACTTAATTGGGCATCCAATCAACTGGGATATATCATCTGTCATCCCCATTGAGGGTCTAGGACAACACATGTCTCAAATCGAATATAGGGCGATTCTTAAATATCGTCTAATGATCATGTTGTTCCTAGTCGACGAGTCTTGTCGTGTGTGTCATAATGTCATATTGGACAAGTTTGGGAACATGCGGTGCACTGTAAAGAGCTCTCCGGGTTTAAGTGCTGACACGACTTGATGCAGGATGTGTTGTTTGTTGTCCTTCGGAGGGTGGGGATTTCGGTGAAAAAGGAAGTTTTGGTAAATTTCCTTATAGACCCAACTTAGGGGAGGTTCTCCTTGTGAGTTACGACCCGCTGATGTTTTGCTTTTTGGATGGGGAGGAGGGAAACATACTTGTGTGGTTCGGGGTAATGGTTTTACGGCTCGACAACCTGTTTTGAAGGATGAGATGAAGAAAGTAGAGAAACATGATAAAGCCTGCTCCGAGAGTTAACACGTGTTTGTTCCTTTTGCATTTGACACTTTTGGTTTCTTAGTCCCTGAAGTTGTGCGTTTCATGGATCATGTTCGTAAGGTTGTTCGCAACAATGTATCAGCTCTGAATGGTCACAAGTATATTTTCAATAGAATAGAGTTTGCAATCCTGAAAAGGGTGGCGGTGCAGCTTGTTGCCCACTTACCTACCATCTTTTGAAATATTTTGATTATATGTGTAAAATTTAAAAATAAAATTTATATGGTAAAAAAAGACATGAAAAGCTCTATAAAACAGGATGTGACAAAAACTATGTTATTTTACAACTCGAGTAGTATAATTAAACAAACAAAATAAATTAAATTTAATTTAATTATGTAAATAGTATTTGAAAGAAGAGTGTGTTAGTTTGAAAAATCATCTTATTAGAAATGGTAAACTAATTTTTAAAGGAAAAATTGATATAAATACTTCCAGAAATTCGAAATTTTACAATAATACTCCCAAATTTAATAAAAGACTCTGGTGCTCCCAATTAAACTATAGGTTTACGTCACTACTCCCATTAAGCCTAATCAGCTTTTCCTACGCTTACATGTAATTAATTAAGCTAAGTTGGCATCTTAGTTGTTTTTTTGTTTTCACAAGAGGAAAAATTTATATAAATACTCATAGAAATTCAAAATTTTACAATAATACTCCCAAAATCAAATAAAGATTTCAGTTCTTCCAAAAGTATATTCTCGTTGCACGTTACGATATTTAACTGAAATTATTTTTAAAGTATTTTATATGAAAAATGGCGTGAAATTAAAAAATAAAAATTACATATTAAAAAACTAATATAGTAATATGTAAAAATAATTTTTTTTAGTAATATTAAAGATTAATTAATTGAGCTTAATTGGCATCTTAGTTATTTTTTATATTTTAATACAAAATACCCCCTCCGCCCAAAAAGTATCTTCTCATTCACTATTAAGAGTATTAACAAGATCAAATTTTATTTACTTTGCTTACCTATTTTAATTATATATTTGATAAAATAATATAATTTTATCATTACTAGTTTTATAGATCTTATGATGTAGTTTTTAGATATATAATTTTATTTTTTGATTTCACACCACTTTTATGAAATATCGTAACACGTAAAAGGAAGATATTTTTTAGAATACTGGAGTGTTTATTTGGTTTTGAGAGTATTATTGTAAAATTTTGAATTTTAGGGAGTATTTATATAATTTTTTCCTCTTTTTAAAACAAAAAAACAACTAAGATGTCAACTAAGCATAATTACTTACATGTAAGCGCAAGAAAAGCTGATTAGGCATAATGAGAGTAGTAATGTAAACTTATAGTTTAATTGGGAGCACCAGAGTCTTTTATTAAATTTGGGAGTACTATTGTAAAATTTCGAATTTCTGTGAGTATTTCTATCAATTTTTCCATTTTTAAATGTCCTTTTATTTTTAAATGGTACACCAATTTCTAGACGGCTTTGTCCAAATGTCCACTGTTGGTCATTCATTCGTCCTGGTTCGTTTGACTTCACAACTGAACCAGGCAACGAGCTACAGCCTACAACACCTGCTTAGCTTTTGTGTCTCTGTTCAAGTGCGTCGACGGGAGCTGAAGGCCGCCGTCACCGCCGCCGCATCTGTAAACTTCGCGAAATGGTGAAACGTCGTTTCTTGGCACAATCTGTTTCTCTTCGCTAGAGCATCCAATCACACAGATCTGCTGCTTCCTCTGACCAGAGGAATTACCCTAGCCGTGATCTAGGTAAAGTTCTTTCTCCCCACCCTCTCGTTTACATTATCCAGAGAGACGCAGATCTCGTGCATTGCCTCGTAACGCATGCTGGCTGCCCTGTAGAACTGCTTCCCTTTTTTGACATTTTAGTGTAGTACTAATTCATCACCTTCTAATTTCACCTGCTTCATGTGTAGCATCGAGATCCATTTCCATGCAATGGATAGTTCTTCCCCAAATGGATATAGATTTCGGAGAATTCCTCGCCACTCTATAGCTGCCTCTCTGAATTTAGACCCACTGGTGAGTTTGGATTTCTTCTTTCTCTTTCCATATCCCTTTCTTCTTTCCACCTGGTTTCTAAACAATGTAATCTTTTGGTAGCACATTTTACACATACTAATTTAGAATATTCACACTGTGTTCCAAAGGTTTTGGGTTAAAATGTGAAAAATGAGATTAGACACCTTTAGAATTTTCACACTGTGTTCCAAAGATTAGACACCTTTAGAATTTTCACACTGAGGGCCTTTAATCTTACAACAATGAGTTTGAGACACCTATGGTGCTCCGTTCATAAAATTGATTGTTCCTACCCCCTAACCCCCCGGTTAATCCTTTCAACTCAGCCTGGTCCTAATGCATTCATGCACCCCCTCCAAGTGCTCCACTTTTTTTTTGTCAAAATTTTGAAAAAGTCAACAAAATCAAACTTGGCTCAATTGTAGGGGGTGCGGGGTGCGTTAGCGACATGCCGGGCTGGGAGGGGGTTTACGTGGGGGTAGGAACTACCAATTTTAAGAACGGGGCACCGTAGGTGTCCCAAACGCATTGTTGTAACATTTGTTGTAAAAAAGTTGTAAGATTAAGGGCCCTTTTATATAATATAAATATAATGACTCTTTTAGCTCCATTATGTATATATGTGTGTGTGTGTTATATATATATATATATGTATGTATGTATAATGGAGCTTTAAGAGTTATTATTGACAATGTTTTAGTTTTGGGCACACTATGGGCTAAATCAAAATGGAACATTAAACTACCCTTCTCGACAATTAACCAAACAGAATAAGCTTTTGTGGTACTTTAATTACTTAGTTAATTATATATGCTAGAACAGTCACGAAATCTAAAAATTAAAAGTATAAAGGATGACACAATAACCAAATAACATAAGTTTTGGCAGGATACTCAAGTCACATAGTTTGTTATATATAGATTTGAACTTTTTTTTGTAACTTGAGGTTTTTTTAATTTTTTTGCATTATCAATGCAGCTTGATGAAAACTTGGAGCAGTGGCCCCATTTAAACGAACTTGTTCAATGCTATAGGTCTGATTGGGTAAAAGATGATAGCAAGTATGGTCATTATGAGAGTATTGGCCCTGCTTCATTTCAGAGTCAGGTATTTGAAGGTCCTGATACAGATATTGAAACAGGTAAGATTGGCAAAACTATTGGATACCTCGCTTTTAAATTGTGTTTTACGTTCACATGTGTTAAATAAACTAAAAGTCATATCTGAATAGTTGAAGCAAGTTCATAAACTGCTGAGAAAAGTTGGCAAATATGTCTAGTAGATGCTTTTGTTAGCCATTGTGTCTATGATAAATACAGGAGGCCAAGCTGAAGGCCAAATAAATCAGGCCCTTTGCTTGAGATTGCCCATTTGAATTTCTCATGGAAACTGTGTTCTTTGGCTGATTGGCTCCCTTGGATCTTGCTAGCCTCTTGATAGATACCTCATGCTCCCAAAAGTTTCATTGATGTGTAGTTTGCATCAAGCTTAAATTTTTAGTTAAGTGAAGTAGGCATGTAGCTGAATACAACATGAATAAAGGATTCTTAGAGAGTGGTAATGATTTTTGCAATAACTTTTTTGCACCATAGTATCACTTTTCTCATTTTGGAGCATT